TTTTCAGGTTGAAGGAGCTGCCGAGGAGGGAGGAAGAGGTCCTAGCATCTGGGATGAATTTTCACATATTAAGGGTAGCAATTGTTCTTTAATCAAGATTGGTCATCTCTTGAAATTTCTCTACCCAGATAGCTAAACTGATTTCTTCATTGTTGTTAAACTTATTCCGTTTCTACCATGTTTGCAGGCAAAATTCTTGATGGCAGCACTGGTGATGTGGCTGTGGATCAATATCACAGATACAAGGTTGGTCAAAATAACCCTTAAAAAGTGTTCATCATTTATTTATTTTCCTCATGAAAAAAAAAACTTGCTCTTTTGATTATTGTTCATTGTCACTTTATTTTGCAATTCTGGATTCTTACTTCTTACTTTCTTACAGAGTGTTACTGCTAGTTAAGTTCAAGATTTAAGTTAAATCCTATCTTCATGAATGAAAATCTATTACCAGTGTATGAGCAGCAGTCCTTCCGATCTAAATATTTAATCAAAAGTAGAAGTTACTGTTTCTATAATGCTTTGTTTATAATGTGTGTTAAAAGCTATTCTATTTGCTACTTCTCCTAACATATATGAAAACATTGAAAAGTACTCTCTTTTTGAAAATTCAAATTTTTAATTCAATGTAATTTTCCAAATATTAAATAATAGTATGTCACCTTTGTGTTGTGTGTTGATGCTTTGAGGGCAATGAACAGAAGAAAAATTTTACCTTCTTAGACATTTTCCGTTTCATGTGCCTTTGAATATTCATCCTGGAGGGTTCTAGAGGAGACGTTGAGGTGGAACAAATGAGATTATATTAAAATGTGCCTGAGGTATTTAGATTCCAGCTTTCGTCTCTTGTGTGATTATGGCATCCAAGCCCAATGTACGAGTCTGACAGCTCATTTCTATGTTTCCCTCTCAAGGATACAAGTTCTTTACTTCAATCTCCAGCGGTTGTCTTCCATGTTTCAACAATACTTCATAGATTTGGAATTTGGAATTTAATGGCATGAGGGTAACTGGAAAGGAAATGCTCGGGGGCCAAGGGTTCAACTAAGTTTGAGGGTTTTTCTAAAATCCGATTCTTGCCCTGTCTTCCAACCTAGCCCATATTCACCGCTTCAACTCATTGCTAGGGGGCTTGATGTTTTAAGGGTATATCTATAGTAACTTAGCTAGAAGAATAGTTCTTATTTCTATTATACCAATTCTGAGACCACCCACATGAATAAAAGTCATTTCCAGACTCCAGTTAACCAAATGACACCTTACCTTGAGGCTCTTCCCACAAAAAACCTTAATTTCTCAAATGTTCCAGCTAGTTTTGCAGGAACTCTGAATCCCTCTTTTCATCCATTTTCATTCTCCCAGCTAGTTTGACCCATTTCTTTAAGATATTAAGTTTCTGTTGATGTTTTCTAGAGACACCACTGAATACTACCATGAAATTTTCTCAGGTCGCCTTTTGGATGAAAAAGATAAGACCATTTCCTTGAAAACCAAGGAAGCTCTATCATTGTACTTATGGATTAAAAAAGAAACAAAACCTTTTGCAAACAAAGAAAGACAGGTGTTCTACTTCCTCAATGTTGTCTATCTCACTGCCTCCAATTTTTTTTGAACAAGATACGGACTTTTCATTAAATGTATGAAAAGGAATAAAAATTGTTCAAAGATACAAACTTCCGAAGGAGTGAGAGAAATCTAAAAAGACAAGCTGAGCAATAAAGGCCACCCAAAACAACATAACAAATTGGGTGAAAAACTAGAAATCTGAAAGGGATGCTTTAATCTTGGCTAGATGGAAACTATCCTCCAATGACTTGCTTTCTCCTTCAAGGATCTTGAGACAACGAGCTAAAAAGAGGACTCCACTTCACCTCAACCAGAAAAATTTCATCTGACTCAAAACAAGAAGGAATGTCCTGCTTTAGCACCAACAAAAGCAAAATTGCAGAACTAAATAAAAATCAAGAATCTGATTTCTTCCATTCCTCTAAGAAAAAGTGTTGCCCCCCAAACCAACTCTTTCTCCGAAGAGACCAACTGATTCGCCAAAGAAAGGAACAAAGATATCATCTCTTGGATAACCACTGAGCAATACCCAAAATTCATGCAAACCTGCCTCACTAAAATGATCAAATAAAGAAACTCAATTCATCATCTGACAAGACCTCACTGCCTCCAATTGCAGTGTTGAAGATGGGGCTTACTGTAACCACTCTCTAATTTTTTGACCAATATCAACTACAAGGTATATTGTCGGCCTCCTTTGCGTTGGTTTGGGTGCTTGTCAGTCGTCATCCCCCTTCCTGCCGTTTTTGTATCTGGTTATCTCTTGGTTGTTTCTTATAAAAAAAAGAAACATACTAAAAAGGTCATATATTTCTTTATATGTTTATATATGCAGTTTTTTTTAAATTAAATTAAAATTTTAATATTTAATAATTACATTATTTATTTATTATTTTATGTATGTTTAGGAAGATGTTGAACTTATAGCAAAATTGGGATTTGATGCTTACCGTTTTTCAATATCATGGTCCCGCATATTTCCTGGTATGTGCTTCGTAAAATCTTTACTGCATTTTTGCTAATATCAAAAGAATATCAGTTACATGTGATACACCCTTGTAGCCGTGCATGTAGACATCAAAAAGGAAGAGGAGAAAAACGTATGTATTAACATACAAATCTCAAACATTTATTTATGTTGTTGCTGAAATAATTATTCGTCAGCTCCAATTCCCTGGCAAAAGAAAGATTGGTGGAGATGGATAAACTCACGCTAGTCTTGTGGTAGCTAAAGTGTGAGAGTATTAATAGGACTATGTTGGGAATATTAGTAGTACATTAGTGAAGGGATATTATGGTAATTGGTTAGGGGCAAGTTGGATATAAAACTTAGTATAGTTATTTGGGTATGTTGGGAGGGCTATCTTTTTCTTGAGAACTATACTAAGTTGCTCACCTTGGACTATTCCTAAATATGACTCCTTCTATCCTATATCTCTCCCAAGAACTATACTACGTTTGTCACCTTAGACTATTCTCAAAGATGACCCCCTTCTATCTGTACTACCTCTATTTATATCCAACTAACCTCTAATTAATTACCATAATGATATTCCCAATATACCCCTATTAGTACTCTCATAGCTACTCTGATGCTCAATTTAGTAATTCAATTGAGCAATGATATATTAGATATGTCAATTAAGATCAAAATATCTAGATAATGTTTAATGCAAAGGTTTAGGAATATTAGTTAGTTGTGTCAGTCAACAGAGCAACAAGGAACTACTCAGGTTAGTTGAAGGGGCAGCTAAACATCATCGTATATTGTTAATGTTTGTCTTTCTTGTATTCCCGTGACCTCAATCCAACCAGAATTCATTTTTGAAGAAAAGATAATTACATTTCTTGTAAAATATATAAAGAGTATGATAGAATAAAACATACATTAACAAATTGGTTTTTAATGAGTTTATTATTTTTATCCTTTCATCTTAACATTTCTTTAATTTTAAAATTTCCATCATTTATTGCATTTAGTATCTCATTCATGTAGAGTTTGGGTCCACATCTTAAATTCATAATTCGTAGCATGTTTATGATCATTTTTGCACTATTTGCACTATTGTTGTAAACAAACCGTTGAAACGAAAAAATTGGGACTTCTAATCCTGCCTTTCTTACCACTCCCAAGATGTGGTCCTAGTGGTAATAGCATAAGATGTTTGGTGATTCTCTCCAAGGTGTCCTGGGTCAAGCCTTCTAATAGAAAACTTAATAATTTTAAACCCTTATTATCCCTCAGAGCTAGTTTTGAGATTAGTGAAGTCTCCTTTGAGGTTTATGGGGTGAGTCATAAGCATAATGTGCAAGGAGCGAGGCTCTCCTTTGCCCTAGTTGTTAAAAAAAACAATTTTCCTTCTCTGTCTTCTTGTTATTGTCCTAGTGGTAAGAGCATAGGATGTTTGGAGATTCTCTCCAAGGTGTCTTGGGTCAAGCCTTCTTATAGAAACCTTAATAATTTAAAAACTGTATTATCTCTCAGAGCTAGTTTTGAGATGAGTGAAGTCTCCTTTGAGGTTTGTGGGGTGGGTCATAAGCATTATGTGCAAAGACCAAGGAGCGAGGCTCTATGATACCCTAATTTTTTTTTTTTAACAAGAAACAAACTTCTCATTAAATAATGAAAATGAATGAAAATGTTCAAGGATACAAACTCTCGAAAGAGTGAAATAAACAAAATAAAACAGATAAACTTAATAATTAAGAGATAAAGCTAAAAGCTTCCCAAATAAAACAGATAAGGGAAGGAGAATAGTTTCCGAATAGAGGTGACATGGAACATCATTGTGAGGCCTTAAATTTAGCCAAGCTAAACCGATCAAGCAGAGATTTGCTACGATCCTCGAAGATTCTGAGATTTCTTTCATACCAAAGCTCATAGAGCAAAGCTTTGACTGCATTTATCCACACACAATCGACTTTGTGGGGGTACAATCGGGCCAACGAGTAACTGATGAACATTGTCCACTGCTATATTGCTGAAAACCCAGAATAAATTGAATTCTTTGAATAGCAAAAACCAGCAGTGCAGGGCATAAGGACACTGAAAAAGACAAAGAATCATTCCCTCTCCGTTTTCTTGTTATTGTCCTGTTTTCCCGTTATTTCCTCCAATACTTTTGAAGAACTTTTGTAGTTATATTATTTCTCTCTACCTTGTTTATTTCCTTCCTGTTACTTTTACTGGCCTTTTGAACCACCAACGTTCTGTTCTTTTCAATTCTTAGCATCATGAGCATTATAAGCGCGCAGAAATTCTTCAGATTTACTGTCCTTTTGTTGTTTTATCGCAATTCGCAATTGTACTGATGATCCTTTTCCTCTTTCAGATGGTTTGGGCACCAAAGTCAATGTTGAAGGGATTAGTTACTACAATAATCTAATCAATGCACTTCTCGAAAAGGGTAAAAATCTCTTCCTCTGAATTTCATTTTTAGCTCTGTTAGAGGACAAATTGGTAGCTGGATGTTAATTAATTTATCATTATTATTATTATTATTATTCTTTTTTTGCAGGAATTCAGCCTTATGTAACATTGTACCATTGGGATCTTCCTTTGCATCTTCATGAGGCAATTGGAGGGTGGTTGAATAGAGAAATTGTGTGAGTTTTTTGCTTGAGAACTATGTGATGTTAAAGAACTATATTAATTCTTATGTGCATTGTTTTCTATAAATTGTTTTATGAATGGTATATAAAGTTTTTTAACAGGTGTTTGGTTTATACGTTTGTGCAAAACTTAGGTTTTTGTAGCTTGAAGAGGTACCAAAGTTCTCTAAACCAGTATGACCAAGAGACTCCAAGCCCTTATCCATGAGACTGCCACTTAGGGGTGAAATTGGTAACAAAGTTGAGCCAAATAATTTATAGCTTTTAGCGTTCTCCTTGAATGGATTATTAAGGAGGAATGAGAAAATACCGGCTACCTTGAAAGCAAGAGCATAAGGCCATTGTAGGAGGAAAACAGGCATGTCCCAAAACTTGATAGCTTGATCGTATTGAATGAAAACATGATCTGGAGATTCAATAGCTTGCCCATGACATATACAAAGCGTTCCACAACTTGAACCGAAAAAAAACCATGACTAAGGACAAACAAGAAAGGTGATTAGCATCCTCTAATTAGGAGTAAGAACCATTTCAGTACCTTGTTCAATGTGTTGAGGCTACCTAATTCTAGAGACTAGACGAAAACTTTGCAATTCTTTGGCAACCTCTATTTTTTTTTAGTTTTGCAACATTTATGAGGCAACATGGCTCCCTTTCAAATAGGGAGGCAAAATGAAACTTGACAGAGAGCACTCTATTTTTCTCAAGATTCTACTTTCCTTGATCGCTGAGGTGGAAATGAAATATTTTGTTCAACACATTCATAAATCATAAGGGTGTTCTGCTCTTCCAACTTTCTATCGGAAAGTGGCTCTCCAATCTATTTGCTTGCTTATCCCACACATTCTTGGTTTTATCTTCCTTTTTCATTGAAAGGAAAAGTCCTGGGAACAATAGTGATTTTTAAAGCTTCCCCCTCTGCTCCAATCATCCAACTAGACAAAGTTCATGCTACCATCTTTAATCTTGCTTATCCCACACATGCTACCTCTTCAAGCTTGATTGTTGTAGCCCGACTCTTAAAGCTCAAAAACTTGCCCAAACTGGGAATCTAACCATTGCCCATGGAACTTACCATCTGCCACCTTTCTTCACAAAGTTGTAGGCTCGTTATTGTAACACTAGCAAAGCCTTATTATGCTCCTTATACTTGCCTTGATCAAGACCCTAAGGACCTTTTTCTAGGCCAACCCAAGCCATGTCGAGCAAGTTAGCAAGGTGGTTGATGCCTAGCTTATGTTTGAAAGCTTTGTTCAACCATGAGTTGTCACGTCGAATGGCTTAGCTGATTATTGGCCATACATGGATTACATTTTTTTTTTTTTTGATAATTGGGAGTAACCGCACCGACCCCAAGACCCGAACCTGGGAGACATCAATGATTTTTTTGTATTAAACTCACAAGAAGGTTCGAACTTGAGACCTCTAAGCCATAATGACCAAGAGACTCCAAACCTTTGCCAACTGGACTGCCCTTTAGGGAGACATGGATTACGTTTTCTAAGTTAATATAATGGTATGGATTGAAGAAATCATCACAACCATCGCTCATAATATGAAGATGCTTGATTTTACGCCTCCCATTTTTATTGGCAACTTAATTTAGAAGTTACCATGGAGGAAACTCAATTGTTAACTTATGTTGACAGTTACATTTTTTAGATGCTTTTTACTAGGCTTCACGTTTGAGTTGAGCAAGGAGTGAGAGACACAAAGATATTGGAAAGTCTAGTCCATCCGTTTGATATGGTATCTCATGGCTGAACTAGCACTTCAAACAACATTACATGCCCCTCAAAAGACACGTTCACTTGATACAACTTGTATTAGATGACCTTTTGAAGGCTCGCTTTTGCTAAACGATATCTAATTGAGTAATCGCTTGTCTTATATCATGCATGAAAAATATTTGCCTATCATTTTTAGAACTCAAGAACTCAGTTGTACAACTTATAGAATAGATCCTGTTCAAGTATGGTTGTAACATTTGCCTATCATAGACAACCTCCTCAGCTTGGGCTTGGTGTTCTGCTTAGCCTCACTCACCACGTAGCAACCTCCTCTAAAGCCACAAATCCACCTAACTCCTCCCCACTCCAAACTCCTCCAGAAGAGTTTCATCTCTGCACATGATTCTTCTATCAATTAACCTTCTAATTTGATGAAGGACCCTATCCTCAGTGATTCAATAATATTCAAACACCTATCCTATAAATAGGAAACTACATACATAATCATTTTAGGTATGCCTGCTTTATGTGACATAGATGCTTTGCTGAATTCTCCCTATATTACTTCGACACACTAATTTGATTGTTGTTTCTGCAAGCACCATAATAATGTTAGTTGAACATCTTGAGAATTCTTTTTTTTTTTTGCAGGTCATGTTTGTTAACTTGACATCTACACTCAGCATGTCTATTAAAAAACTAACATAGTTTGGAGACTACTTTACTATTTTTTATTTATCATTTGTCTTATTTTTATTATAGGTTGTGTAAACATTTAAATCTCATATATTTGTGAAGATTCTTTTGCAAACTCCATGTTAACAACCATAGTTTTATAACTTGCTTGGCAAACAAACAGAAATTACTTTGCAATCTACGCAGAAACTTGTTTCGCAAGTTTTGGTGATAGAGTAAAGAACTGGATTACAATTAATGAGCCTCTTCAAACTGCCGTAAATGGATATGGAAATGGTATCTTTGCTCCAGGAAGATGGGAAAATTCATCAGTTGAACAATATTTGGTTGCACACCACCAAATCTTGGCCCATTCAACTGCTGTATCAATCTATCGAAAGAAGTATAAGGTATAATATCCAAACCTGCCTACACTAAGCACCTTCCTTATTTATTTATTTATTGTTCTATTTTATGATGAGTATGTTCATTCAGATATTTGATTATCTCTTTCCCCTTGTCAATTTGATTTGTTCTATTTTTATGCTTTCTCTTTTCACTCCTATTAGGAATTTGTATCCTTGAACAATTTTGTTCCTTTTCATTTATCAATGAAAAGTTCGTATCTTGTTAAAAAGAAAATGGAATATACACTTGATCGTCAAGGTAAAAATAAAGAATTACAGATTTTGTTGTATAGAAAGATACTAAGAGTAGGCAATTGAAGTAAGGAGCAGAAGGATTAACATTAGGGGAGCATGTGGCATTGACTAACTTGGTGGTCTAATCCTCAATAGGTTTGTTCACTTAACTTCATGACACATCATGAACTAATGGGGGCAGATGACAGTCAGATTGTACTTGTGATGATAGATTGTAAAGCAACACATAATAATTTCAAAACTCGGGAGTTTATTTATCTATTTATTCATAACTCGGGAGTTAGTTGAAAGAATCAAGTTACCAATTAAATAAACAAAGGAATATAGGGTGCTTATGGTGTCATCGGGAAAAGTCTATTCAAGTAGGAGACGAATTGAAGCAGACTCTTCAAAATCTGATGAAGAGTTTTTTGAAGGAAGCTTGGTCTCTTATTCAACGAAGAACTCTCTCCCCCTTCCAATTCTTCTATCCTTTCAAGAGATTTCTTCTAAAACGATAGAAAGATTCTTTTCGCTTTTTCGAGAGACTTGGGATCACCCTCGTAGAAATCAATCATCGACGCTAATTTTTTCAAAAGGAGGTTCAATGGTGCCTACCATAGCGAGGATCTGAGAAACCTATTTATAGAGGTTTCAAGCTTAAGAAGTACATGAGTAACTATTGTTACTGTGCAGTAAAAGTAAAGCTACTAAAATAAAAGCTATAACAGTAGCTAATAAATGAGAAAAGCTATGAAGCAACTACTTAACTACATCAAATTATCAAGCCTTGAAGAAGTTTTTTTCTCAAGTCTTCTCATTCCAACTTTGGCTTTAGGTTTAGTGGGGTTGCTTTTGCAGTTTGCAGCGTGTGGTTTTGGCATTTTGTCCTATTCTCTTGTATCTTTTTCACGGTGGTTCTTTGTTGGGTGTTTTTTATCTTTTTCGCTTCCTTTGGGAGTTTGTATCTATAAACATTTTCTTCCTTTTCATATTATCAATGAAAAGTTTGTTTCTTGTTAAAAAAAATAGGGTAGGAGATGAATTGGAATTTTTTGATCTCCGCCAAGTATTAAAGTGATTGAGAACTTCTTCCCAGTTGGCTTAGAAGCTGTGCTGTCCTCTTAAGGATCAGTTATTAGAAATATTGGGAGGTATTCAAGTTACTGAGAAAACAATTATTAGGTGGAGATAGTAATTTTATAAGGTGATCCTATACTAAGTGATAGCAAGGAAATGATGAGGGACCTTGCAATGAAGAACAAGTTCTTTTACTGGAGTGGGGGTGACATACCAGTAACAATCTGGGGCGCTTTGCAACAATTTGAGAGGGTGTTTGCTGTGCTGGTTGGCTAGCCCAACAGATTTTCTTACATGCGATTACTTTTAAAGAAGGATCTTTATTTGTGATTCATGAATGTCCGCCCATAATTATAATTACTCTCCAATTTAAGAGAGCTTCTTGAGTGATTTGTGAGTGTTTTTCTTTGAGAGAAAAGTGAAAGAAATAATTGTATAGAAATTGTAAACTCTTGGAGGATTCTCTCTTACATTTTTGGATCTTTATTTGTGATTCATGAATGTCCGCCCATAATTATAATTACTCTCCAATTTAAGAGAGCTTCTTGAGTGATTTGTGAGTGTTTTTCTTTGAGAGAAAAGTGAAAAAAAATAATTGTATAGAGATCGTAAACTCTTGGAAGATTCTCTCTTACATTTTTAGTGGAACCTACAATAGTCGTAGAGAACTAGACGTAGGCGATGTTAGGTGAACCAGTATAAATCCTATGTTGATCTCTCTTTTCTTAATCTCTATTTATCGTTCTTGTTGCTTAAAGTTTAGGTTGATTTATCTATTCTTTTAAGCTTATTTCGAATTGACTTATGCTATAATTTGAATCAGAACCTGCTTTGGGATGAGTTAATATTGTCTTCATTTGTGATTGAGATATATATAATTGACTTTTTTATCCCCAACAGATGCAGTCACATGGGGAATGTGGCCTAAAAATTTACGTTTCTGAAATGCTGAAAAACTTATAATTTCCTATGTTCTATTAGTTTTCTGTCACGATATCGTATCTTTTTCTAGTATATCCTGTGATTGTGGCAGGCTGTCCTTGTTTATTTACAATCCCAACCTCAAATTCAAGTTTATTTCTGCTCCTGGACTTAATTAGAAGGCAATGAGTCTAAATTGACATGAAATATTCAACAGATATTGTTTGATTAGGTCATTTATTTTGTTCCCATAATAAGAAATAAGTCTTGAAGTTCTATTCTTTCTGCAGGAAGAGTTAAAAAAAATTTCGTATGCCTTCTGTAATCATATAAACAATATTTGGTATTTTTTTCATTCTCCTCATCTTTTTTCAGGAACATCAGGGAGGGCAAATAGGCCTGTCTGTAGATTGTGAATGGTCTGAAGCTAATTCAAGTAGTGTTGAAGACACGACTGCTGCATCAAGACGCCTTGATTTTCATCTCGGGTGGTAATTTCTGGATTCTTATGGATTCTTAGTATTGTTGGGGAGACGGGAAGGAGTTATACCATTTTGTAATATCTACCTCTCTCACCTCCTACATGAACAAGCGTTTTCATATTGTTTTCCTATGATGATAATAATTCACCATGGGGTAATCCTTGTGTTTCCTTGGCACAAATAGGTTACTATCATAGCGGTATTTCTTGTTTTAGTTCATCTCATGGATTATAAGTTTTGGAACTTTTGACCATATGTTATTTCCTAGACCATTAGCTCCCTTTAATTAAACCTCAAAAGTTCCCTAAAAGACCCATAGGCTTTACCTGCAATCTTTCCCTCTCTCTTCCTCAACAGCCCCCACATTTCCTCATTTGGTATAACTTCTCCTCTTTACCGATTTTCCATTGCAAAACCCAGAGAACAATCTCACACTTTCTGCTTAACCAGTTAGCCAAGGCCATCTTTCTGTTCTTAACCATGTCTACGATAGTTTTCAGTTCTTGAATAAACAGAAAATCTCACAAATCCAAAGAAGTTCTTAGTCACTAATCTACACTTCTTAAGAGTTCCATATTTCCATGGTTTTTCTTACTCAATGTTTAGGAAACGTTCCGAGTTTTAATTCCAATTTTCAGCACTAGTACAAAGCTTGAATCCCTTCTTCCCTGCTTTGTCTCTCTCCCGTTGCCCTCTCCATTTTCAAACCCATATTTCCATATAACTTTGCTTTATTCAATTCTTTTTTTTTTAAACCTTATGACACCTGTCAACTTAAAACAATTTGGAGTTTCCCTCATCAAAATGTCGGTTTTATTTCTTCTTTCTTTTTTCTTTTTTTTTCCTTTTTTTTTTAATACTAAAAAGCAATAAGGGTCCTTACAATACTATTTGTAGGGACTTTGTACTTTCGAACACTTGGTAATTTTTCAACTCTCTGAAAAAAATGTTTCTTATTTAAAGAAAAAAAAAAGCAATAAATAAGTAAACAACAACTCCGAGAGTTGCTTAAAATCTCTCCCTTCCATTACTATTTAGTAGTTTCAACTATTAAAATTTGAATAGGTACCTGCACCCAATATATTATGGAGATTATCCTGAAGTTATGCGTGAACAACTTGGAGATAACCTTCCGAAATTCACTGAAGAAGAAAAGGAGTTGATTATGAATAGTGTGGACTTTGTGGGTCTGAATCACTACACATCAAGGTTTATTGCTGATGTAGCAGAGAGCCCTGATCAAGGTGATTTCTACAAAGCACAAAAGATGGCAAGACTTGGTATATATATATCTCTCTCTCTCTCTCTCTCTCTCTCTCTGTGTGTGTTTTAGGACAAGAATTATGTTTAACATTTCTGTTATTATCAGTTCAATGGGAAGACGGTGAGCTTATTGGCGAGAAGGTATGGCGCTCTCTCTCTCTCTCTCTCTCTCTCTTCCATGAGCATGGAACACATCACAAGAGACACATCCACACCATACTTCTTAGTTCTTAAAGCTGCAATAAAAGGCATTTTCAGCTGGCATGTGTCTATCACGTGATCTCCATTTTGTTGAACAATTTACATGCAGGCGGCATCAGAATGGCTCTACATTGTTCCTTGGGGCATCCGAAAGGTTCTAAATTACATAACACAGAAATACAATAATCCAACTATCATCATAACTGAGAACGGTATGTGCATTAAAGCCTTTTGAACATTGTGGGATCGAGATGAGTTTTCCAGTTAGAAGGAAAATTACAGTTTATTTTTTCAACCAAGTATAAAATAATGTTTTACAATGGGTGTGGACCATTTTTTAACCGAGTTCTGCAGTGGTCTTTTCAATTTTTTCATTCAAACTGGCAAATGTAGAATCTTGAAACAGAGGGATCATGTATTTTGAATAATGACGTACGCGATTAATATTTAGGGAAATTATAATTGGTAAGTTACCATATTACAAATCTGTCACAGAATCTCCTTTTACAGATATGGCAATTTAAAAAAAAAAAAAAATTTGCGCACCTCTTTAGACATTATTATGTAATTGCCTCTTTACCCGTATATCACTGATATACCATTTCTATAGTATATCACTAATAGACGTTATTCACTAATAAACGTCTATCAATATTATACGTCTATCTTTGATAGACTACTAGACATAAATCAGTTATAAACATTTATAACTTATAGATGTGTGAGGTTGAAATATGTTGATTGGTTTTTGTAAAATTGAGAGGGACTTAAATTTGTGCAATATTAAGAATCTTTTAATCTTGTCCTTGATTTACTATTATTTTGGACGAGATTGCTATATATGCAATGGAGCATAATATTTAAGTGATTTATTTTTGAGATGATTAAAACCTGAGCCCTTACTTCTTAGTTATTTTACTAACATGTTTTGTACGTTTCTGATTACAGGCATGGATGACGAAGAAAATGACCTTTGCCCACTTCAAGATATGCTTGATGACAAACTGAGAGTTAGTTATTATAAGAAGTATCTGGCTGAAGTAGCTAAGGCAATCAGGTCTGCTTGGTCCTTTAACATGTTTCTTTGTTTTTTTTTTTTATGATGATTACGTTGATTTACTAGAGTCTTAAACTATGCTTTTTTAACATGAGGCTTTTGCAATATTAGTAGATCTGACCCAAAAATACATACTTTATCTAGAAATATTAATGACATACTCTATCAACATACAAAAATAGTATCTCAATGATATATTTTATATTTTTATTTTGATGTATTAGTGATATACTTTATCAATGATACAAAAATGGTATGTCAACCATATCCTTTATATTTGGTAAAGAATGGTACGTGGGTGATATTAAATATATCAATTATATACTTTAGCATATAAATACTAAATTAGTTATATATTTTTATCACAAATGATATATATCAGTAATATTTTTTATCGATGCTAAAATAAATATTATATTAGTGATATAAGATTTGTCTTATTTGCAAATTATTTTGGCATGAATTAATTTTGCCACCCATTATAATTTTCCTTTCGAGGGTCTTGCATTGTTTTAGTTTGTTGTGTGTGAATATATCCCCCAAAGTGCATGGTTGAATGATGAGTTGGTGCACAGGGATGGAGCAGACGTTAGGGGTTACTTTGCATGGTCATTATTGGACAACTTTGAGTGGGCTCAGGGATACACCAAGCGATTTGGATTGGTTTATGTAGACTACAATAATCACCTTACTCGCCACCCTAAATCTTCTGCTTACTGGTTCCTGCGCTTCCTCAAAGGTTCTGAACAGAAAAGTGGGAAGCAAGAGTGAAACACTCCCTTTTAAGTTTTAACTGTAAGTTTTCACTCCATTTTCAACCTTAAACCTGCCTTCTTCTCTCTCTCTGCTCTCCATTTGTTAAGCCATATTTTAATTGTCTTCGTTTCAGTTCATTATTTAGGGGGCGAAATGTTGGTTGAAGCAGGCCCCAGAAGGATTTGTGATTAGAGAGTAAGTCATTAAACTTCTTGTTCACCTATTGCATATCGTTGTGATTCGAAGTTGGAGTTCCTTTCTTAAAGAAATTAAAAACTTCTTCATTTTCTTCATTTCCCTTCCCGTTCTGGTTGGGATTTGTGAACTAAAACTTCGTGATAAAATATAATATTTTATTATTTTAATTTTTATGTGCCATATTTATTATCCGTTGTTGTGAAAAATTAAGATTAATAATGTAGTTTTGAAGTTGAATCATGTGTCAAAAGAAATAATCTAAAAAGAAAAAAAGTTCAATCCTCAGCCAGCCAAGTGGTAATTAGCATATATCTCTAGTCAAGTGGTTGTAAGTTCAATCTCACGTCAACGTTCCTACCCAGTACTAAAAAAAGACATTGATATAACTTCTGTGTAATAATAATAAATGATTTGACCCAAATGGTTAATATGGAGATGTGCAAATTAGAGTATAGTTTGTATGAGACTAGATATTTGATTTCTCTCCTATCTTTATAAATTGGATTCTGGCAGGGATCTGGAAGTTAAAACGGGTTGAGATTAATTCCAGTTGAGATTAAATCTCAATTGGTATTCTTCACTTTCTCTTTCTCCAACTAAATGTTTTCTTCTTTTCTTGTATTCTCCCCTCTCCGATTAAAGTTGGAAAAACTTCTCTCCAGGGGTCTGTTTGTTTTTTGAGAATTGAGATGTCTGAAATCTTTAGATGTTCGGAATCTTCAGATGCCTGGAATTTCAGATGTCCGACATCTTCAGATGCCTGGAATTTCAGATGTCCGACATCTTCAGATGACCACGTTTTGTTTCGTAGACCGAGAATATCTAGATAGCCACGTTTGTTTCGTAGGATTTATTCTTCTAAATTTATATAATATTCCAAAAGCGCCCTCATGAATATTCATATAATTTATACATTAATCTAATATAATTTGCATTTATATAATAGATTTTCTTAAATTAATTTAATATTTTAGATTTTTTATATTAATTACGTATGTATTAATTTTTAATTTTTGTATGTTATTGGGTAGAATTCATATTAATATAAGACTTTTCAATTTTAATATTTTTTAAAAAATACAATTACATAATTAATGTTATATGGAGTAAAATTCATTTATTATATTATCAAATTATATTCTTTTAAGAAGAAAAATATGAAAGGTAAGTTGATAGTTCAAAAAATATTGTTTTAAAATTATGTATTTCAGATAATATATATTATTCATAATAATTCAGATATTATTTATAATAATTCATTCCAAATATTAAAAGTAAATGGATATATTATATAATTTAACGGCCCCTTAATGGTAAAGACTAAATCATGTCCTCACCACTATTACAAAATTGACAATTGATTAAATTTTATAAAAAGTTTTTGCTTTTTGCATTTAGCTCTCTTAGTTGTCAAACATTTAAAGTAGTAAGGACAAGATTTCTGCTTACGGTTAAAGGAGCTAACTATTTTTCATTAAAGGTTGTTTCTTTTTATTAAAGTAAATTGATGCTTGCATTTTTTATATAAACAATTTGTATTGTCTTTTCTCTCCAATTCATATTCTAGTCCATTGTCATCTCTCCATAGGATTGTGAATAGTATAAAGGAGCATTGTGCTCCTTACCCTCACGTGAGCCTATAGTAAAATGACAAGTGTTGGCTTACCCTCACATGGGCCTATAGTATAAAGGAGTATTGTGCGATCAAGAAAACTAGGTCTAATAGTTTAAGAAAATAAAACCTAGTATTTAAAGCTTTTATAACAAATCAAGATAAAGATTTAATAAAACTCATTTTTTTATATATATATATATATATATATATATTCTAATTCTAAAAACAAATTATCTTTAAAGTAATTTTTAAAACAAAAAGTTTATCTTCAACTAAAAAATAATAATTTAAATATATATATTTATACTTTTTTTTCGGTTGTTACAAGTTTACAGTATAAAAAATACATATCCATGATTTAAAGTTACAAACACACACATATGTATATATTGATTTTTTATTTTCATAGTTTTAAATGATTGTTGAGAAGTCGCTTAACATTATATCTTTTTTTTCTCTATTCTATTATTTTGCTTCGCATCTCATGGTCTTCTAATTTAAATGGACCTTCTGCAATTTTTTGTTCTTAGCCATTTTTCCAAGGGATGTAATTGAAGAAGTTTTGAAACATTGGATTAAAGTTGCAAATTTTCTTTTCTTCTTTCCCTTTAGCTTCAAATGACCACCATCACAGATTAACGACTCGATTATCGTAAGTCTAAGATATCAAGAAAATTTACGCAAGACATAATAAATTAGATATCAAGACACAAATTAATATGGTTTAGCTCATTTGGCCTACATCCACTAAAAATTGAAATGAAGCTTCTTGTTAGTCAACAATAAAAAAGGAGGAGATTGGAAAAAAGTTGATACACACCGAATTATGGAAAAACTAATACTCTTATCTCAACGACACCACAATTATCACTTACATGTCACATGGTTTAATAACATAAAAAAAGATAAAGTTAAACTTCTTTTTAACTTTTTTTTTCTTTTATCTTTTTTCCTCGTCCTTTAAATCAAGTTATCTCCCTTATTAATTAATCAAGAAAAGATAAATCAAAATTGAATTATAGAAAACACTTAAAATGTTTATAATTTCATACAACATTCAACAAAAATATATTATATGACTAAAGATAATACTATCTATTTCTTTCACTCAAAATATTGCAAAATAAGTTTGATCAAGTCAAATGATATCTATTAAGCGACTTCTCGATGATCATTTAAAACTATGAAAATTAAAATATCTATATATATATACACATACATACATAAATACATACATACATATACATTTAAATTGTGGAGATGTAAATACTGTAAACTTAAACTGCATTAAGTGGGAAAAAAAAGACGAAGGAGAGAAATGAAGAACGTTACACCATAAGTTGAGAATAAAATGGAGGCTAATAAGAGAGGAAAAGGAGGACGTGAGAGGGTGTAGGGAGAGAGAAAAGGAGGTCGTGAGATGGCGTTGGGAGGGAGAAAAATGGGGTAATGAATCGAACACCTTAAACGAGATTTTGAAGAGATTTTGATTTCGATGAGATTACGAATTTTGATAAAATAATTAAAATAAAGGAATAGTAAACACTTTATCATTTTACTGTAGGATCACGTCAGGGTAAGCACCGTTAATTTCTGACCGATTTGTAACCAACCTCAGTGGAAAGATTCGAATATAGCTTATAATTTTGTAAGTTCTCGAAATGGGTTGTTATGGATAAAATAAAATAAAAAAGTTAAGTTTTCTCCCTATATTTGTAAGGTTCCTATAATCTTATTATTAGAAATGTGAAAAGAAATGGATAAAAAAGTAATTTCAAGTCCACCTTTATTCAAAAGGGTAAATAAAAACTTAATTTCCAAAGACAGGCTAGAATTCAAAAGCTCAACTTAGGGGTATAAAATTGCAAATTTTCCTAAATATTTAAAATGTATTGAATACATTAAATAAGTATTAAAGAGAATAACTTTTTTTTTTTTTGAGAAATAAAGGGAATAACTTTTAATGTATTGAGACGAAAAGTTGAAAGAAGAAAAAAAAGAAAGAAAAAAAAAAGAGGAAATCAGGAGAACAAGAAAGGGAGAAGAAAAGAGAAAGGATGAAGAGGAGAGAAGAGAAGACTATCTTAACTTAAAACAATAAATCAAACAAAATCAAAAGAGGGGAAGAGAGGAGAAGATGGAGAAGGATGAGAAGAGAGAACCATCATAGAACTATATTCTCCACTATATTTTCTCGAGTATAGATTGGTTAACTACTACTTGAACATCAAAATGCTTACTCCTTTTTGTAGGTATTCTATTTGCCAAGCTTTGCAAACTAGATCAATTTCTTGATCAAACATTTGACATCGTGAAGAGAAAGAAGAGAATCGAAGAAGGCGGAAGAGAGAGGGGTAGACATTATCAGAGGGGGAAGAAATTAGAAATTCATAAGGGGAAAGAAGGGAGGAAATGAATAATAAAGGAATTAATTATGTTTCAAAACTCCCTCATTCATGAACACTAACAACAATAATAAGAATTAACCCCAATAACTAATTGATGAACCAACTTTAAGAAAATTAAACAGCTTTTAGTTGATCTAAAATTTGTTCCTATATTCAAGATTTCGAACTCTCCACAATCTAATTGATCAAATTACATTAAAAGTTCTAAAACATGTATTCTAACACAAGAACACAGAAAATTGAGAGAGATTGAACTTAATCTATTCAAATGTTTTCTTTCATAACCAAGTACACATCCCTATTATAATAATTGAAAAGAAAGAAGAAAAACACAACCTCTTTCACATCTATACATGAAACCTATTAAATAAAAATACATGAATTTAAATCGTAAACAAAATCCAAATTCTTTAAGCTTCTTGGACGAAAAGAAATTTTATCTTGCTTGAAGAGATACAAATCTTCAGTAAGTGTGCACATAGCTTGGATATTCACCTAAAAAACCGACGTTGGGTTGGGTCAATCGGTCGGCTCAATTTTCTAACTTTCTTGCTCACCCCTAGCAAACATATGTACTTTAGCAAGCATAGAGTACATATCAAAAGCACTAAAATCCTGCAAGATCTCAAAGACGATGTTAAAAAGAGGTTGTGTTCTTTCTTTTCAATTATAGAGACTAAAACGAAAATAAACAAAGAAAAGTTTGAGATAAGAACTAAGCAATCAACTTTGAGATAATACACACCTGCATTACACAAGAAGAAACAGTAGAGAAATGGAGGAAGCACGTTGACATCTTATTATTTGAAGATCAAAATTTTTTACCTCCATTTCATTACCAGAGGTAGGTGTGTATTACATAGAATCATGCCCACAAAACACTGACATTACAAACATAATTAACTTTCTCTCATTGGGGCCAAGGCAATGCTCAAACTTCAATGCATCAAAAACTTATCTAACAATGAATGTTCAAGACAGCTCCAGCAAAAATCTGTCTTAGATGATGCCCCATATGCACCAGAAGTTAACGAGGAAGATGCACCATCCAGTGTGCAGATTATATTATATCAAACATTGTCTTCCTTTCCGTGTGAATCCGGGTTACACTGAAAGTGATAGCCGGTGCTCACATATGGTTTTTCAGGTAACCTGTACAAAATTCTTCAATTAGGGGGTTGGGTTGGTGAGAGTATTCTGATTATCTATCTCTGGGCTGTACCTTTTTTACCTGAAATATCCAGCAAATGAAACAAAAGATGAGCAACTGATAAGCGACAAAAGAAAGCAGTATCACGTCCCAAAGGCCCCGAAAAATGAAATGTTCTCAACTTTAAGCAACCATTGCTCCTAGTTGGTGCAATTGCTAATATGGATCATTAAACCTATGAAGTAATCATTTTCCCCAGTCTAATCTCGAGAAATATGTAACAAACACGTCATAGGATCATCCATAACATTTTCCTGGATACAATATTTGTAAGTCAAAAGGCACCAGGAAGGGGTGAAGCTTAACCTACGATATAGTTGTGAACAATAAATTGAATTTATTTAGTCTCAAGCAAAATTTTTTGACATTTATAAGAGGGAATAATATAATGCAAATAATAAATGGCTTGAATTCAAACCATGGTGGCTTCCTACGAGTTTCCTTAGTAACCAAATTTAGAGTGTTTAGACAATTTTTCCATGAGATTAGTCGAGGTGCACGAGCTGGCCCATACACTCACATGTATAAATATATATAGAATAATACAAGTATTTCAGCAACATCCAAGTGTATAGAGTGGGAAAAAAAGTGCTCAGAGCTAGAAAAGTCTGGTTAGAAGAAAGCTCTTAGGACTCCCTGTCTGTCAAGGACTAACTGAGGCCCAAGGAAAATAGACGACCCATGTCCCTTATATCCAGCACAGAGGCCATAAAATGCAACCTCATGTCAAATAATTTAGATACTCTAACGTCTCTTATCGCCCAAGGAAGGAACTAAGAAGAGTAAAAATGAATGAAAAAACAAAATAAATAAAGCTTTTGACAATATTGCTCTTCGCAACAAATGGTTTTCACTTTACCTTAGAGCACAAGAAACAAAGGTTGTTGCAAGTACGGGCTCATTCCAATGGTAGGAAATATAATACGGTTCCTAATGTAATTTTCAAGCACTCTCAGAAAGGAGGTACCTTTTAGGGTTTTGCTCGCTTCATCAACTTTACTAAACATTCTGCCAGGGGTGGGATGGAACTAAGCTACGTTTTCAGTAGAATCATTGGATTGACAATGGTTACTTGCAATTGTTTTGTCCAATCTTTCCCTAACGAAAAACAAAAACCCACCTACTGTCTACTTTGTTCACTTTTTCCAAACGTTCGACAAGGAATCCCTTTTTCATAGTTTCTGATTCAAGAGGGCCCTATCTAAGGCCTTTTTGTGACTTCTTTTTTCATCACAAACAGTTGGGAGTCCCTCTAATTTTCTGGTGGCTCCATTAAGTTTTGACTCGTGTTCTCATCTTGTTTGTCTTCTCTTTTACTTCAATCAAGAAAGAAAGTGATTTTCTTTTTCAAAAGAAAAGAAAAAGAACAGTGAGAAAGAAAAATGGATCCCATCATATTCCTACAAGGTTCAAATGAGATTTGAACTTCATCGTTGCAGTTCCTTCGTTTGGATAGTGTGCACATATTTTTTACTAGGTGCTGTGATAAAGAAAAGAACAAAAAATTAATAGGAGAATGAACAACGACGATGTACCTCCCTCTATATTTTCACTAACTAGTCTTCATTATTACAAATTCATCAAAAAAAAAACAGTTAAAAGGACGGCGGTAAACACTTACCTCTGCAAGTGGCTTGTAGTTGCTTTTCAGATCCTTCAACACATAAAGCAATTAAGGCATCAAATTTAACCAACCAGAGCGCAAGAGCAGATATTGTTTGGGGTAAGGGTGCAAAAGATGCTAAAGTATCTCGAATACGGACAGAAGAACCTTCTGCAAAATTACAGAACCAATCCTCATTGATGGCACCAACAAAATCAGCAACAACCTGTTCAAATCAAAAACCATATTATATTTACCGCATATTATTGATTGATACTACAACTACAATTAACCAAATGACTACATGCAGAAACAAGCTGTGCAGGACTTGCAACAAGAAATATTAAAAATAAAAGACCATCAAAAAAGGAAAGAAAAAAAAACCTGCACAAGTTCTGCCAAAGAGGAAGTACGCCTGAGCCGTTTGGTCCACAACTTATGAGCAGATTTAGTCCAAGCACCAACCATGGCACCCTCAGGCATTACTGACTAGAAAAATAAGCAGAACAGATGATTTTCAACCACAAGCAAGTAGTTAAACATATAAACCGAAACATAAAGGCACATTCCAACCATGTGGTATTGCAAAAAAAAATATTTTGTAACTATTCAGCAAATAAAAAAGTAGAAGGGCATTCTTCCTTTCTTTTTTCCTTTTTTTCTTAATAAGAAATCCGGAGACAGCTTTCAGCAAGTGGTAGAGTAATAAATAGAGAGAATCAGTTTCAGCAAGTGGTAGTAATAAATAGAGAGAAWCAGTTTCTTTCATGTTGTTCTTGATACGAACAAATTTCATTAATGAATGAAATTACAAAAGGAGTGGAAAGCCTCAACCCAAAACCCAGTTTCTTTCATGCAATCAAATGTTATAGAGTTATGCAATTGTCTAGTAATATCAAGTAAGGTGTATGTAAGTTGACTAACACACTCATAGATGTCAAGGAAAAAAAGAGTCAATTTTTGTCCCAAGCCTATTTGGCCACTTATCCTTGTTATTTTTTTCTTTTTGATAATTGGGAGTCGAACCTTTGCTCCCCAATACCCAGGGCGCCCTGCCCGCCCCAAGGTGCCACTTATCTTTGTTATTACCGTTAGACTACATTCCTTATTCTTGTAGTTTATGTACCAAAAAAGTAGAAAAGCCTCTAGCCCTATGTAAATCTAGAACTCCAAATTTCTCAACTGTGGAAAGTGTAAACAAATTAGAGAATAGGAAAAATTAAAAAGAAACCAACTTTCTCTTATGTTGCATGATAAAAGCCATACCAGCGAAAAACTTACGTATTTGGTCCCTCATCCTTCGAAAGATTTCTCCTACAGTTCTTTCTTTAGTCTTTTGTGCAACCCATATCCCTCTTCTTCCCCTTTATTCTCCTCAGTATGGAAGACTAAAATTCCTAAGAAGATCCATTACGGATTGGGTTCAAACCTAGTCCTCCTTGTTGGGATCGCAGTGTTGCATTTCTGGCAAATGAGGATGTCAGTTTGCTCGTTCGATTTAGGATTGCTTTTTGGAGACTTTGGGGCTAGTTTGGCCAATAATAGGGATTGTTATCTTATAATGGAGGAGGTTTTGTTTCACCCTCTCTTCATTGTTAATGATAGTATTATTTAGAGTGTTGGTTAGTTTGTTTTACAATTATGGGGTATCTAGCTAGAGAAAAACAATATAATTTTTTGGTCCCTTGCTATGTTTAGTGTCTCGCTTTGGGCATTTGTCTCTCAAGACTTTTGCAAGTATTTGTCTAGCCTTGTTCTTTTGGATTGAAGCCACTTTTTATTCCATGCCCCTTTTGAAGCACTGACATTCTTGTAGGCCCATTTTTGTTGGCCCTCTTGTATTCTTTCATTTTTCATTAAAAAATACTTAGACAAGTTGATCCTCCAAAAATACATGAAGTCCAACACCACAAACCAAAGCTTATAAAGGAACACTTTTTGTCCCTTTCCAGTAAGAACCAAATAATGATCTTCCCATGATTCTAAATAATGCATAAGATCAAACTTTTAACTTGTCCTTGTGATATTAAAAATTGTGGTTTCTTAGTTAAAAGAGATTTCCTATATCATAGGGCCTGTTTGCTGTCCCCTTTATCTTTACTAAGAGGTGGACATTTGGTGCCTATATTCAGATAAGAAACACAATTATACAATGACATATGTTTAATATCTAAATAAATTGCATTCTTTTTATGGTCAAAACCAGACGACTTATTTGTGGTTTTGACATAAATAGGGATGGACTTTTCTCCAGTCTTCCCTTGATATGTTAACCATCCAATGAAAAGATATATCTCCTGTTTAAAAAAATAAAATAAAAAAATAAAATGTACAATTCAAGTACCTCGATTGCATGAACTGCAGCTTTCAATGATTGGAACCGTGATGATAAAACCTTATAATTTGGAAATACATCATCATCCTCTTTCTCTCGACAAGTTGCTTTATGAATGGTATATCTTTCCTCCAGGGTGATATCAAGCTCAAAGGTAATATGGCAAACCTTACAATGTTTCTCATCCCTCCAATACAAATCGTGACAACGTCCACATCTAGCAAGTGAATCAAGATAAGACCTTCTGCCATGCTTTACAGCATAAAGCCCGTGGTAGAAGAAATTCCATACCCATGAATCAAATGCCTGGAGACGGTTCCATCTTTGCTTTTCTTCTTCTCCCTTCCTTTTAACTTCAAGAACTATAGCACCACATGAAGGCAAAGTATTGCCAATAGTCTCAGTCTGGTTTAGGCTATTATCGACATCAGATATGGGAGAATAACTGCTTTCTCTAATCATATCCGTATCATATTGATCAGATTGTGTAAAGTTCCTGCTCACAAGATTCCTAGTGCTATTATTTGACATGGCTTCACATAGAAATGGAAGACGCTGTTCCAGAGATTCAATGAGGAAAGCTTCACGCTTACCTCTATCATCTAACACAGATAACAAGGCACACAAAGCCTGCATTGAGAATAGATAACAGAAAAATAGTCAAGATAACAATTATGTGCTTGACTTTGAAAAATCTTGAATCTATGGAAGGGAAACTTGTTGTCACAAAATTGAGAGGATAATACCTCTTCAGTATCAATCACTTCCCAGTGACCATCCTCTGAAGATTCAAAATAAACCCTCCTATGACCAGGATCAGATGAATTGCAGGGACCAAGAAAAAGCCAATATCTATTGTACCTGCGATCAGAACCTAGAAAGAGAGATTGCATTGGATGCAAGTAAATAGCATCTTTCATTTTGTTTGCACCCTTTCCTTGACTTACTGAATTCTCATGGAACTTTGAGATTGCTGTTGACGAATCAATAGGATGATGTTCCAATGAATCATATCTGACATTTGCACCATGCAACTGTCCTGAACTAGTCAAGAATGTCCTTGACGACAGGTTGTGTCCCCTGATTGATGACTTCTTTATTTTTGCTCCAGAACCATAACGTTGAACATCGGGAGCATGTTCAATAATGGCACAAGATGTAGACGTACCCTATCAAAATATTGAAAAGTCTTGGGTACTACACCTCAAATCATGAAACAGTAGATCAAACAAAAAATAGATAGATTTCTAAGTGACGTTGCCAACAATCGCCAAAGTATAATAGAATAAAGTATACTGGAACTAGAATATACTGTCCCTACAATGAATAACTTCTTCTCCCAGACAAAAGTAAAACTTCATCTGACAGAAGGAAGAGTAGGTGTTCTTTAACTTCCTGAAGAAAAAAGAAATTGATGTAGATTTTGGTCTTTACGATAAAAATACAATCACTCATTTATTTCTGCAAACTATCAAAATTATGATGTAAACAATCAAAAACTTACCACAAGATAATATATAATTTACCTTTGGCCTAATACTGGATCCATCAGAAAGAAGATCAATTAAAGCCACCAATGCATTCAACTTCTCTTCAATGCTTAAATCTGAATATTCATCTTCCATCAGTCCTAACAGCCATGCTTCTCCTGGATGGCTTACATCAATCTCTGTGAAAGCAGTCAGGTTTTCATTTTTGGATTTCTGAATCTTAAATCTTTGGGAAAATAAATTTTCTGAGTCACATTCAGAATCATAACTGCCGCTGCATATAGATGCATTAGCACCTATATCATCTACACTTCCAAAATCAGTGTCTGACTGAAACTCATCAACATCCATTGTAGCAAGACTAGGCCGAAGACGATATGCAGATGACGATATCTTTTCAAATAAAGTTATGTCACTAGACAGAGTGGAACATATAAGAAGCTCCAGTTCTTCAGTAGTGACAGCCACATTCAGCTCAACAATCTTCAAGACAAGAACAATGTCAAATGGATTAATATAGTAATTTGATGTCCACCTTTCCAACATTACAACTATAATGATAATGACATAACAATGAAGTAATCCACATTTGTCATAACATTAGTATTGCAATTACAGAAGACACCTACCTTTAACTCCCTTGCCAAATCAGTAACCTTGATCCCATTGTTTCCTTGCTCTGATAAAATTATAAATAATTCACCCTTCAAAGTTCCATGATGCAGACCATATTTAGCCATAAGGTTCATTTCCTAGAAGAAGGACAAGAATGGAGGATAAAACACAAAGGTTTGTAATAAAAACGAACAAAATGATCCATTCACAAAATCAAACTTGCCAACATTACATACACATCATCTCCTAGAGAAAGAACAAGAGTGGCTAAGTTTCAGGATTTCCAAGGTTCGGGCTGCATTTATTATGTTTTTTGGTTGGTCATATTCAGGGTATTCAAGTTGGATTGTAATTATATCTATCACTTATGGTCTTCTAGTTCGGACATGGGTGTTTTTCTGTTTTGTTCGGATTTCAGCTTCGAAACTGCCTTCTGTTGAGTCATTCCTGGTAATTTTTTCATTATATCAATGAAAATTTTCAGTTTCCGAGAAGAAAGGGGAAAAAAAGGCTATTTATACTTGGTATCTATGATGGAGGAGGTCCTTAAAAGTGAGCATAGTTCAACGGTAATTGGCATATATCTCAAACTAAGAGGTTGTAAGTTCGAATCTCCGTCATGTTGTACTAAAATAAAATTTAAAAAATGATGGAGGAGGTCCTTTTCCATCCTCCGTTCCGAGATAAGGGTCAGATCTTATGGCACCTGGATAAGGGTCAGATCATATGGCACGCTGGTTTCTTTGTGCTTCTGTAAGACCTCTAGTTAGAGAGGAATAATAGAATTTTTAGGGATGGGAAGAGTTCTTGGGAGGAGGTGTGGTCTTTAGCTAGGTTTGATGCCTCTACTTTGGGTGTTGATTTCTAAAGGCCTTTTGTAATTACCTGGTCTAATTATTTTGGATTGGAGCCTTTTTTTGTACAGTTTGTTGTGGGCCCCCTAGTCGGGCTGTTTTAGGCAGGTTTTGCCCTTGGTTTGTTCTGTTGTTCTCTTTTATTTTTTTCTCAATAAAAGTTTGGTTTTACATTTTCAAAAAAATGGTATTCAGAGCTCTGGAGCCGTTTTATGGGTAAATTTACATCAGACAGAAGTGACCGGGTGAAAGATGGCTTTGATTGTCTTACCAACAACAGAATTTTTGGAGGGGAGGAGAGAGGTTGGGAATCTGTTTGGGATCTTATGGGGTTCTGTTTAGCCCTTTCTTTAGGCAGGTTCCTCCTTCTGGGCTTTTGTTTTTGTATGCCTTTGTATATGTCTTTTGTTTTCATTTGTCTCAATGAAAAGTTCAGTTTGTTTGAAAAAAAATAAATAAAAATTGTCTTGCATAACTTGTCCAATATCTTTTTAATTCAAGATAAGTACACATCCATTATTTAATACTAAAGCTGACAATTTCACTGAAAGGGGAAGTAACAAAACTATGGCCGAACAAGGATCACAAAGGATATGATCAAACAAAATCTACGAGTCTTCTATCGCAAGAGGAAACAAGAAACCTAAATATTGAAAATATTTAAGAATAAAATTCTGGTTTACTCCAACTGAGAATTCCATAGGCTCTTACGAAAAAAAAATGGAACATCTCGAGACGTTGAAGCAGAAAAGTATGAGAATTAAATACCTTAGAAAGCGTTTCCTTTTGCATTACACCTAGCTTAGAACAGAAACCAGCTGCAACCAACACTTGACGCAGTATTTCTGTCCACGTTAAAGGGTTCAAGGATTTTTTCCATACCTCAAGAGCAGGAACTTCACTGTCAAGCTTCAGAATGATGAAAGTAAGATATGAGCGCAGAAGTTTTCTTCATATTGTTAAAGCAGAAAATAACGAACAAACATGCAGAACCATATGATAATCTTGCATTCATCTTAATCCTAGTCAGAAAACTTTCTATCTTATTTTCTGATTCAATTGTCTCTTACAAAGTATCAATCAAGCAATGAGGGAAAAGTTTTCAAAGCAGAAAACAACTAAAAAACATGTACAGGGAAATGTTCTATCATATGATAGATCTTGTTTATTCCTAGTTAGAAATGTTTGTCTTATTTTCGCTTCAATTGGCAGTTACATGTTATCTCTTATCAATCAAGCTACGAGGGAAAATTTTTCAAAGCAAAAAAACAAAACAAAAAAAAGAACGTGCAAAACCATATGATTGAAGATCTTGTTCAACTGTCATCATATTCCAAGTTAGAGAAGTTTCCATCTTACTTTTTCTTTTTCTTCAATTAACTCTTAAATTATCAATCAAGCAATGAAGGAAAAACTAGGAAATATATATATATATATCTTGCCAACCTCAAAGTGCTCCATGTAGCACTTCTCAGATTGTGCAACACTACTTGATAACTGCAAAGGTGGTTGTTAGTTTACTTTTCAAACTCAATCTAGTTTGGACTCCAGTTATGGCCTTCAAGAAATTCGAAGACAATTTTCTCCAAAAAAAAAAAAAAATAGAAGTACCCAAAAGAAACAATATGGGAAAAAAATTATGCCAACACTCCAAAGGAAAAAAGAAATGAAACAGTTAGGGTGGGTTTTTCGGTAAATGAAGAATGAAATAGAAGGGGAGAGAAAGAGGGGAAATATGTATATGATGAAAGAATTAGAGAATTTTATTTTATATAGGAAACGAAGAAATATATTGAGAGAAAAGAACCTAAAGGCTGGGAGTTGATTGAGCCCCCACCTTACAAAAGAAAACTAATGGAGTACAACTTTCCAATCGCGTATAAGCATTGTAAGCATTGTAAGACTGTAGTTACAAAAAAAATAATAATAAAATAAATAAATAAATCTTATTGTTTAGACACCATGTAGAAGCAGTAATTTGTACACAATTACAAAAAGGATCAAAAGAAACGAGCCCTGTTGTGAAAAATCCGATTTGTTTCTTTCTTTATATAGACTCCACAAAATAGCTCTAACCGCACAACCCCAAAGAACTTTAGCCTTTTCTTTGAAGAAATCACCCTGTGGGCCCTCAAGAAGCCAATCAAATGATGAAAGAATTAGAGAATATTGAAGGTTGGTTTTCTTTCACATCTTTAGAGGCTGTTTTCTGTTTTCCTTCTAAAGAATGGAGCTGGCTTCTGTTGATATGATTGAAGCTAAGACCTCAATTGCGAGTGGTCAGAGGTCTGGTTTAGTTGCTCTTGGTTTGCATTACTTCCTCGGTGCTTTTTCTCCCTCTCAAGCTTCCAGTGAATCAGTTATAATAAGAAATGAGTCTTGGAGCTTTAGCAGATTATAAGATTTAAAGTTTCTGCAGGGTTCCAACCACTTCTTCTTGAAGAAGTGCCGAATCCCAAGAAGTGTTGCTACCCTTTTGTAATTTTTCATTTCTTCTGTTTACTTAAAAAAAATCTTAGGATGCTTATCACTACAATTTTTCTTTTAACAAGAAACAAACTTTTCATTGATATATGAAAAGAAAGCAAATTGCTCAAGGATATGAACTCCCAAAGGGAGCAAAAAAGAAAAAGAAAACAACCAATGAGATCGGCTTCAAAAGTAAACCACTAAGAAGAAAACCGCATCTGAAAACGTAAAGACTACAAACAAAAGACACGTATCTAGATTCACCAATTTCTTGAATCTAGTCATACTTCAAAGTCCCTGCCTACCAATATCTTTAATAAGCACCTCTTAAACATTGAAGTCACCAAAACGCTGCAACAAAAGTGCGGTAGTGTCATTTATCATTGTTATTATTTTGATGGAAATACATGCCAGGTCCTTAATAGAATCAAAGATGAGGTTGGTCTTGACAGGAGGCTCTTATTAAAGACACTAGGATCCCCTCTTCGTACCCAAAAATGGTGACAGGAATTGGTAGGTGCGCCTAAACAGCCCAACAATGTTGGTACATCCTTCGAACCCAATCAAGATCCTCTCTTCTCAACAAACAGTTATCAGACTCGTAGGAATATTATTCATCTAAGTCTCTTGCTTTGACAACTTAACTTCAATTGCCAACATAAACATATCTAAACCTAAACCAGTCAAGACATTACTTACCTCCATAAAGCTCGAAGGTTCAAATCTCACACCTTTTGTTATATCTCAAAAAAAAAAAGCTAACTTCAGACGATTAGTTCCTGGTGCAGACCATGGTGTATGTACTATAATATCCTCTTCATTCTCTTCTCTTTTATAATCAGGTTTCTTTGTGGTAGTTAGTGATTAAGTGGGCTGACTGTTCTATCAGAACAGATAAACTGCCAAACTGACAGTTGAGAGATACTACTTAAATCGGAGTTACCACAATTAAAGTTAGGAATACATTTTGTTGGAAAATCTGGAATTCAGAATCAATAGGGTCCAACTATCCAAGATCTAAATAATTTGGCAGCTTACATTACAAGCTTGAGTATGCAGAATTGCTCCACAGACAAGACACCTTCCGAAGTGACTTAAAGCAGTAAAGCATTGACCAATTCTGAAGAAAAACATCATTCCAACTAAAAACAATCTTACCCCCTCAATAAAATATAGACAATTTCAAGCCAAGCGAAATTGCCTATCATCCTCAGCTAGCAACCCTAAATTAGAAGTGCACTAAGAAACAAGGTGTCAGTAACCAAATGTTAGTGGCCTAAATTCAATTATGGAAGCCCACAAATGCTGGTCTCTCCTCTTCAACGTTTTCAATGCAAATTTGGTGTGCAACACACGAGGGAATTTCTTGAAGAGAATTATTATTCCTAAACATAGAAATCCAGCAGCTATTTATAGAGGCAGCTTGGACCATTAACCACACAGTGACTAAAAATTACAGCAACTAAAAGACTAACAACTTAAAAGATATAAGAATAACAACTTAAACTAACCAACACGGCATATTAACTACATCAAAATTTCTGCCTCCATAGAGAAAAGCGGATGATTGACCCTGGCGCTTGATGGTGGTCAATTAAAAAATAAAGCTAAAACTCTTTGGAATTTTCCAACGGTGGCTTTGCTGTGGAACTTGTGGTTAGGAAGGAACCCTAGGTCCTTTGAGGATAATTCCTACAACTTAGCTATTTTTTGGGGAAATGTATTCTTTGTGTTTAATACATATCTCAGGTTTCTTAACCAAAAATAAATAAATTCAATCATGAAATACTGACCGAATGCACTAAAGCAAGAAATTTGCAAGACTTGCTCGGATGAGGTAAATATGCATTTCTAAGTTCTGCCTCAATATCACAAAATAGTAGTTTGAGAAGGGTGACATGAATCTTTCCAAGTAAGAATGAATCCTGCAAATGCAAGAAAAGCAAAACAAAAAAAGGTGTAGATGTCAACACTAAAATTTTTATCCCCACAAGGAAGTATACTAATTTAGGCCACGAAGTATCCTAATAGGTAAAAACTAGATCAAAGAGAATATTTAACCTTGTCATGAAGTGCTTGAGCAAACTCATCAAGCGTGAATGGGCAAATGTCCAATGGTGTGGCATACGTATAAAGAAAATGGAGGACCTGCAAAACATCAAAAGCCAATTATTTAATCTTCGCATGTCAAAAGACTTGATAAACTTCCAAATGCAATCATCATTGCATCAAGCTTTGTTTTTCCTTTTTTATTCAATAAGAAATAAGAATTTCCTTGATATGTACAAAAAATTTCAAGTACAAAAGCACATTCTAATTGGAAATGAGAGAACTCTTTGCAATTATTTTGCTAATGGGAGGAACTTTTTTGTAATTCTTTTGGTTTCTCCTGTTTATTACATTCATTCAACGAAAATCGTTTCTTAATATTAAAAAGATAAAAATCGTTTTAAAAATGAGAAAAAAAATTAACTCTACCCAATCAAAATAACTCTAAAGGTTGCTTCATCTTCATGTAAAGGATATTCAGACCTTCTCTAAGTATGCAAATAACCAAGATTCACAATTACTGTATGGAGAATGCATCCTATTTTAAAGGGAATTAATGATTAAAAGAAGCACAGAGAAGAAAATCAACGAGAAAGGAAAAGAAAAACTGCCAAAAAAAAAAATTCATAGCTAACATTCTTATCTTTATAAGAGAGAGCAAAATAAGAAATAATACAAGTGCAGGGATTAAAAAGATTTGAGCCCAATGGGAATTTCCAAAAAAAAAAAAAAAAAAAAAAAAAAATCAAATTAGTATGAAAGCTAGCAAATAAATCTTTTCCAATTGAAGAGAGGAAGGGTGACATTAGAGACGCCTACTAGTCATCCAATAAACAAAACAGACAAGGATCAACCCCATAATTCCTTAATGTGGACCTTTAATAGTTTCTTGCCAATTTCTAAAGAATCCCAAGGTTGCCTGCCAAATGGTTGTTTCATCTTCACAGAATTTGGAGGGAACTTGGCCAGCATATCTGAAAGAGAAGAATACGTTAGAGATGACACCTATTCCAAAGATCTCTTTCATATTTAAAATAAAAACAATTTTTTTCTTCCAGAAACAACAGATATGTCGTTCAATGTAATCAATCAAAAAAGGGCATTTAAATGTAACAACAGATGGACGAGAATTCCATCCCCTAACTATCACAGCCCATAAAAAAGACCAGAAGTCTAATTATCTATTGATTAATAGGTGAGTGGCTATCCTTAACTAGTAGTAGGAAAAAAATATTAAGGCAAAAAGAATTACAACCTTTCAAGAGCTATAGCACCACTGATTGGAGAGTAAACGGAATAGTAGGCACATCAAAGAGATTAAATCCGAAGTCAACCTACTCTTTTGACAACACAGAAATTCTTTGAACTTCTCAGTTCTCACCAACTTCCCAGAAACAAAGTCTATCAGATAGTTTTTAATACGTCTAACTCACTCAGCAACCGTTCCCACTTGTTTATCACAATGGATGCTTTCAATAAGTATAAATACTAAGGTCTATTTGTTCTAAGAAACCTTTTTGAACATCACAAGTAGTTCACAGGGATAATAAAAGTGCTCCTCTCCCGCAACTTTTTTTTCTTTTGAAGAAGTAGAACAAGTATTTCAGGGGGATAAAAGGAGAAGAAGAAACCTACGAATTTTGGCAGCAGAGCTAATTAGAACACTCTAATTTTCCCAAAAAAATATCAAGGGAACAATTATTCGGTTTATAGAAACCCAAAAAACAACATAACAGATGTAATTGAACTCCTCCAAAAACTCATTTTTCATGACCCTTAAAAATTCCCCTAAATCTCTCCAAGTTTCAAAAGGGAAAAAACCAAAAACCAACTGGACCAAAAGTAAAATCTTCCATGGGCTTGGAAACACTGAGAGTTAACAAAATAGATTATCAATAACTAATTGAAATGGGGGAGCACCTAGTGGCAGTCAAGAATTTGTAGGAAATTTCTCCCAGAAAGCTCTAATAGAAGGGTAGTGCCCAAGACAAGTGATCAAGGTTCCCTCAATAATTTTCAAAATCACACATGTTTGCAGATGAAGAGCCATAGAGATGTAATCTTCAAGAACTAATCTCCTCTCCAGTCATTTTACTAAAAGATACTATTGGAAGGAATGTATAAAAATGTTGTAGATAAATATTCTCAGATTATTCCTTCACCTTTGCAAAGTGAGCAACTATTAGCACCATTTGTCATAAAATGATCACAAGCTCCCACAGTATGCGTTCCTGCTTGCAACTCTCTCAGCTCCAACTCCTCATCGTCTACCAGTAAAGCAAAATGGTCTGTGTATCCTTGAGATCTCATTCCTTCCCAAGCAAGTTCACATTTATCATAGCATAGTTGCATTTGATTCTTTTCTCTATAAGGTTCCACCTGGAACACAACGGGAACTCAAACAAACAGGAAATGACAAATTTCAAGGCAACCAAAAATCAGAAAAATATATAAATACCCGTTTGTTTTTTGTTAAAGGCTTTCGCTTTCCCTGTACTTTGTATCCCAGCCTTCCCTGTTTATAAGTAGGATACTTCCCGTTAGCAACCTTTTTTCCGAAGGTAACAAATATTGTAATGTTCTATATTAGATATTATAAAAGAAAAATAATACTAAGTATAAGAACTACTCAAGTTACCTTCATTTTAGCTTGACGTGCTGGTCGTTTTCCTTGTCGCAATGATTCTTCAAATGAAGAAGTTGAAACTGGAGATGCATCCATAAATTCTCGGCCACCAAAATTTACTCCAGTGGGAAAATCCCCAGCATCAGGATTTGTTGCCTGCCAAACTGTCATCAGACCCTTCCCAATACCATGAGTTTTAACTGGAGCAGCAGTCTTCCGACAGCAATCTGCAGGAATGGAACTAGCTTGCTTTGAAACCTAAAATTACATGAACAAAAGGTGAAAAAATAAGGATATGGAAGACAGCAAGAAAAGTGGAATAAGGTTGACATAGCAATAGAACAAGAAGAATATTAGTAATTATGATAAGCATTTCAAATACCTTTCTCACTTTGGTTTCTCTTTGATTCTCTTGACAGGAAAAACATGAATTTTTTGGGTGGGTTCCTGTGAAAATCATGTGCTACAGATATTAATCCTGAAGCCACTCGATATTTAACATTCATTCTAATTTATTATCTACATGCCTTTTTATAGACTTACAGAAAGAGGGAGAGAGATTATTAGAAGTTCTTTCACTTTCCTCCCATGAAATATATATCAAATCAACAGAAGTTTTAAGGGATATCTATATAGTATTCCTCAACTTTGTCATAACATTTACTCTTGAAGAAAATAGTAAACAAGAAGAACATTTGTGACTTTGACTATATCGAGATCTATTTCAAATTATCATCTCTCATTTGCTCTTTTCTTTCTCACAATTATCTATACCTTTTTCTCCTCTATGCAACATTTCTTTACAAGAAACAGAGATACATATTCAAAAAAAGGGAGAAGAATAGCCTAAGGGTTGAGGGTAGAGGGAACCCCGCTAAAAAAACTACAAAAGAAGAGTCTTCTCATCACTAATAATCATTAAAAGACTGTAACTACAAAAGAATTAGCTAAGATCGGAGCACCACCAAGAAGCAATATGATGCACGCACTCACAAGTCACAAAAATAACAAACATCTTATCTTCAAAGATTCCTTTTCAATTTGTAAGTTTGATTCTTTGTCAAACAGCTTGCAGGAAGGATAAAAATAAAAATAAACAACAAAACAACACCCCGTAATTCGACCAATAGATCAACCTTGCATGGGCCCCACATGTCGTAGCTTAAGCCTTAGTGGATAGAAAATGATTATTTACACAAAATTTTAAGGTTTTTCACTCTCTTTGATCGAGAACATGCATCTATCGAAGATTCTTGGAACATACCCACAAAAATCTTGGGACTTTGATTCAAAAGTTTGATTTTGGATATTGAGATTAAGGAATCGACCTAACTTTACCCTTTTTTTTGGGTATGAAACACATCTTTACCATTTTTTTCTTTGATTGTCAATTAATCTCACAACTATCTGACCCTATAACATTTAGTTGCCCAGGAAATCACATGATCCACCTCACTGATTGCCCAAACATATGGCTTTCGCTTCCAGACATATCAAAATCATTTTTCACTCTCTCTCAAGGAATTAGTGAACCAAGATACTATTTAGCACTTCATCTCTCCTTTTATGCAAAGAATATGCACGGTAGGTCTTAAATTCTTCTTGTGGGAATTTGTCGTTAGAGTATAAAGTTTTTTTTTTATAGGAAACAATTTCATTGATGCTATGAAATTATACAAATGATCAAACCCTATTCAACAAAATTACAAAAATCTTCTCCAATTGGACAGAAGAGAATTAAAGCTATAGTTGTTAAAAGAATAGACATTTTTACACCAGGTTAGAGCCAAAAAATAAATTGAATCAATCAAGCACAGAAAGAAATTTTACTTGTTATTTTTTTTTTTTGTACAACACGTGGGGGTGGGAGATCGAATTCACAACCTCTTAGTTGGAGATATATGCCAATTACCACTGAGCTATGCTCGCTTTGGCGGAATTTTCCTTGTTATTAAAAAGCCTAGAATTTCTTTCTCTCCAAATGGACCAAATATATGCTCTATCATGAGAGTATACAAAATGTTAAAGTAAACACCCACATTTTGTACAACATAGGTACCCTTCCTTTCCTCTCTCTTGTGCTAGGGTATCAAATTCTGAGAAGAGATAAAATCTCAAGCATCATTTTTTTTCTTACATCTTATTTCATGATTCAGTCCTTCGGAATCATGGTTGGCCACCCTTTCAACAAGAAAAAGATCCTTTTGCCACAATTTACATAGAGCTTTTATATGGAATTTGTCGCTTGGGCGGAACGCTTCAATAATAAAAAAAAGACATTTGATAACTATTGAGAAACTATTTCTCCCTGTCAAATAGAAATTTTTTTCTGGCTCTCTCTTGGAGTAAATTATATGCTCTTTCAACAACTTTAGTTTATGTGATCCTTGTCCAAATTGGAAGAATTTTTTGTAATCTTCCTTCATATGGAGCCTGGATTTCCTCCCACATACTCTCTATGAAATTGTTTGATTTCCCACATGACCATTGGATAAGAATGAATGAGAGAATTTTTAACAGGGGAATAAACTTTGTCTAGGTTGCCAACTCTAATGAGAAACCTTTCATGTTCATGAATAACAAGGATTGACTTACAGAAAACAGACCCCAATCCAGACTGAAGAACAAGGACAAGGACGGACTCACAGAAAACAGACCCCAAAACAAACTGAAGGGCAGAATAATGAAACATAAAGGAAAGAAGCCATAGTAGTATCTGAAACACATAAAAACATGGTCCTCAATCCCCCAACCATAACATGATTAATGGGTGGATGATCTACAGTCTAACTTTTCAATGATGTTGATGCTGGATTATATCAGTTTCCATCCACCCCACAATGATGTCCATGCATGTGGAAATGTTTAATTACATGAAGAAAATGATGTCAATGGCATGTAAATGTTCTAGTGAAAGTAGCTCCGACGCCAACTAGAGAGATCAGAAAGACTGGTTTAATGACATGTGAGCAAGTCCAGAATACAACGCTCAATCTTCTTTCATGACTTCTTTCAGTAATAGGATGATTTGTGCAACATAATTTATTATTTATATGTTTTGTCAGGTTACTAGGTGAATAGGCCAGAGCTAGTAACTTGCAGAATACCTTTGCACTGCAGAAATGCTCCAGAAGGAAGACAATCAAAATCTGCACCAAGAGGAGGGCCATCCTTGTGCAATACCTTCGTCAGAATGTAATCTGGAGAATGCAAACCCTGGATAGCATCTAACTTTTTCTTTCTCTTAACGATGTTACCCTCGACCATAGTTCTATATTTATATTTCGAACTTAGAGTCCTCCCTGCATGGTTTGAGAAAGTATGGTTAATGTCCATTCTAGCCACAGAACAAACAGACCCATTTCTTCTGCTGAGGCTATGCTCATACCAGTAGATGATGTAACCGTAGTTTCATTCTCCCTATCTCTCCTCCTTTTCTGCGCAAACCATCCTTGTACCTGCCTGTAGGTCAATCCCAAAGCGGCAGAATATTCTTCCAATGCACTTTGCGTAGGATATTTGTCCTCTGCAAGAGTAAGTAGTTAGTTCTGTTTGGACTCAATTTGTTGTGTTGGGCTGTAATTTGTATGCCCAGTGAAAGTCATAAAAAAAAATTAAAAAATTAAAAAGTAAAAAAAGAATACAAAGTCAGAAGGGTAGCTATACTTATTTCAAACAAATAAAGGTCAAAGATGTCTTGGAAATAAGACCAAGAATGAGTACAGGAGAAAGTTCATTTTGGCATTTATGACAACAAGTAACTAACTTCATTAATCTGAATGGGAAAACTACAAACTGCCACTTACGAGTAAAATATACATATAAAATGTTTTTATAAGAAACCGCACTTTCATTGAGAAAAATAAAAAAAATATATACAAGGGCATACCAAAAAAAAAATATAAAATGTTCTACTATATTTACAAATTACCTGAATAGAACGTATCAAGAGCTTGAAGCTGTTGAGGCGTTTTCCTCTTAAATTCCATTTCTCTAAATTCTATGATGCACGCACATCCGAAAGCCAAGGAACCAAAATAGTGGAAAGAATGTTAGTTAATAAACACAATCCAACTTTTGTAGAGAAAATAACAAAGTTAAACAAACGGAAGTTGAACATATTGTGTTTATGACATTGTTTGCTGCTAGCGGAGTTCCAAATTTTTTTTTCTCTTCCGAGAAACAAAAATCAGGTCAAAAAAGGTACAATCAGAAGTTCAGTACCAACTTCTATTTAATCTATTCCACCATCTGCATATAATTGCAGAAAATAAATACAATAATAGAACGCTGCAAACAAGAAAATCCGGAACGAGCGAAGAATATCAAAAAAAAACCAACCGAGGCGGATGCAATCAATGAAGTCTGAAATCAGACTCTTCAGAACCTTTTCATTATAATTTTCACTTAACAACTTCATATATGCAATGTACATATGCTCGAAAACAATAATAGAAGAAAATTCTAATTCCATATACTGACAACTCGGCCGTTGCGCAGTGCTCACCTCGGTTTTAAACTAATACTCTATTGCCAGACGCCAGAAGTTCGACTGAATTGCTCTAGTCCCGTGCCGATTCCGCTCCATCACCAAACACCGATAGGAAACACACGATCACCTAAAAAATTCCAGAAGCATTGACGACTCCAGTTTCACATACACAAAAGTTACCTTTGAAACAGAAGTGAAAAAGCGCTTCCTCACATGATTAAGCTTGCTTGAATTCAGCCATTTCCACTCTGTGTGGTGGAATTGGAGCGGGAGAGAGAGAGAGAGAGTAGGGTTTTGGGTTTTGGGTTTTACACCAGAAAGAGAAAATATCTCTATGCCCGTCCTGCCCGTGCCTGCCCGCGACTTTCATGGAGTTTAAGAAATATCATAATTTTATCTGTGTATGTTTGGACTAAAATACCCTTGAAAATTTTAAAATTTCTACCTATGTGTCATTGCTCATTTCCTTTCTTTTGTCTCTCCATCTCCAAGAAAAAATAGGCATAGAACATCATGGAATGGAATGTGTCAATATTAATGAATACTGAGAAACAAATCTGTCATAATTATTTGATGATGAAATCACATTCATCACGGTTGATTTAGTGACGAAATCTCACCATTATTTACTACGAGAGCGATGTGCGTCGGGTTTAAGAGTACTCGAACTCCTAACTTTTAATATACTGATAAGTAACATGTGGGGTGAAATTTATCATTTTATTACTACTGACTTAAAAGTAATTTTATTAAAAAAATACTTAAAAGCAATTTTGTTCGATCCCGACCCCTTCTAATTTTCTCTAATTTTAAATCCCCTCCTAAATATTATCACTTCACCTCTACAAAATTTAAATAAACCTAACTAAATGATAATTTGAATGGGTGGAGAAAAAAATAGCCTAATAATAAATGGGAAAGAAAAACCATGAAATGATGTAGAATTTAAATAAACCCAACTAAATGATAATTTGAATGGGTGGAGAAAAAAATAGTCTAATAGTAAATGGGAAAGAAAAACCATGAAATGATGGAGATTGGATAGATAGAAAAATGTTTGAGAAAAGTGCAATTCGGGATTCGGAGAGAAATGTAGAAAGAGAAACGAATAATAAAATTGCCATCAAAGTAAAAGAAAAATGATTATTAAAATTAAATGAAAAAATTGAGAGATAAAATTTATCACTTTTATATATTCATACATACGATAAGTATATATAAAAATCTAGCATAAGTTGACCTTACCTTTAACTTATTTTCGAGGATTCATAGTTTTTCTATTCTGTTCTTTTTTTTATGAGTTTTATAGAAGAAAAAATTGAAGGGAAAAAATCATACATTAGTCAATTTAAAAAAAAATGAAAAAGAAGAAAGAGAGAGAGAAATTGTAAATTTACCATTATGTTCTTTATAGAAGAAATTTACTATTCTGTTATAGAAGAAAAAATTGAAGGAAAAAAATCATACATTAGTCAAATTTTAGAAAAATGAAAGTGGAAAGAGAGAGAGAAATTGTAAATTTTCCTATTCAGTTCTTTTTTTTTATGAGTTTTATAGAAGAAAAAATTGAAAGGAAAAAATCATACATTAGTCAATATTTAAAAAAAAAAAATGAAAAAGAAGAAAGAGAGACAAATTGTAAATTTACTACACAAATATGCCAATTTTTAGTAAAAAAATAATAATATATAAGTTGTAGGACATTTAAACCCTAATTTTAAATACATCCTGATCAGGACCTAATAAATGAAATCGCCCTCTAAAAACCATGTAAAATGTACAAATTATGAGAAAGTACCCCAACAGAGGCTAAGAGAGACAATTTTTAGTAAAACATGATAGTAAATTTGACCTAAATTTTAAAATATTTGAAAAATAACGTATACAAAATGAACTTAATAGCAGAACTCCAATATATAAAGAAATGAAAGGGTACTACAAGTCTTTTCAGTATCAAGAGAAACACTTCAATCCTATGAACAAAGAAAAGATAACCAACCTACTCAAACAGAGTAAGATCTGCATAAGCATAGCAATGAGTATAAAGTTACATTGATTATTGCTAGTAAATCATAGCATCATTGGTACATTAACACACCAAACTAAAGGCAAGGAAATTTATGAGTAGCATAGCAGAGCATCTCATGAGCTGGTTTTTCAGGGATTTCAACTATAAATCCACTTTCCACCTTACTCCTCTTCTTCTGCTTCCTCCAGCCAATTCACAAAGGGTTCCAGTGCCTTCACAAAGCTCTGCCTGTTGCATTATCAATGACAAAATTTAAGTACACGCACAATGAATATGCACAATCAAGCGCAGGGCTGAAGTTATCCCATAAGACGACCCACTCGTTCAACAGCTATTGCATTGAAAAATATATCGAAGAATTTAAAAGATATCAATACAACATGTAATGCTTAAACAAATATGGATGGATAACTAAAGAAAAGTACACAAAGTTTAGATCCACTCGATTTTAGACTTGACTCGATGGCATCATTCTATTTTGTTTGGACACACCAAAGTTTACAAGAAGATCAAAGAATACGGGATTCTAACCAACAAATTTGCACAATTGAAAACATCAAGCGATACACTTTCATGATTTCATATAAACTGAAGTTAAGATAGAAATTTATGTAAGATGAATTTTCAGGGAAGGGATTTTATAAGGACTAGCAAATGGAAGACCACAATATATATATGTGTGTGTGTGTGTATATATATATATATAAGCATATAAACCTTACATACCTGCCCTTAGGATTTGTTCCTTTCCGGAACCAGTGGAGAATGGTGTCCTCTGCCAGTACATCCTGTTCATACAGAGACCTCACAATTTCAGGGAAAAGCTTCATCAGCTTAGCATCCTCATAGCATTGCATTTGAACTTTGTATATAAGCTCCAGCTCAAGTTTCCCCGTGCTACAAAAGGTATTCAACAATTGTGCCCATGTTTTCACCTATGCATAAAGAGAAAAGGTCAATGCTTACTAGATTCTTTTTTTCTTTTTCTAATGAGAAATCAAGTATTCATTGAGAAGGAAAAAAAATACAAAGGGCACGAGTCCAATCTAACAAAAGGACACCCATCAAAAAGAATAAACAGTGCCTAACTAGATCAAAATCACTCTCAACAAGTCCCTAAGGATTGACGTGAGTCTGGGTAGAGACCAAAGGTCTATAACAACGTATCCATGAAACCACTCAAAAGATAAAGTTAAGTTAATTTCCTTCCCCCACAGAACAGTACGAGAAGAAAAGTAAAAGAAGTTTTCTCCTTGTATGGCACAATAACATCCAAAGTTGTATAGAATTCTAACTAATGTCGAGTAGATCTATAGATTACTAAATCAAGTTTTGTTGTCTATCTTTTCAAAGAGTCTTCAATTGAAAATTTATGCTAAAATAACATAAACCATATGGATGAACATGCTCGGCCTGATATGAACCACTGACCTGAATAGTGTCTCTGACAATGAATTACGATATTGGCCTGAGTACTTTGCTATTAGTTAGGAACATATTGTAACAGGATCCATCCCTGAACAGCTAGTCCAACAAAACTAGCATAAATACTCCACAACCTGTCTATACTCCAATAACTCTCCCTATTTGAAGGTGAATAATTGATTGGAAAAATGGATACGAGTTCCAACTTTTATAAAGATGCCACGTATAAATAAAATTTTATAACAGAAACTCAAATCTAAAAGTAATCAAAGTTGAGAAAGAAGAGATGTGCCTCAATTGCAATTTGCACAAGAAGAGTTTGCATGCAAATGGCATTGAGATGCAGGCAGAACATTTTTAGAAGTTGGTCAAAGAAGGTCGGTGAATGGTGGCAAGCTAGTAGACCAGCTGGACTTTAGAGAAAAAAACTTCTTTGAATGCTCACAGTTATCAGTGATACAAGAAGGAGAAGCTCTAGACTCTTCCTTTGTGAATCTCATAATGAATTCGAAAATGCCAAAGAAGGTTAAAGCCTTCCTCTGGATTTTTGCTCTTCAAAAGGCTGAATGCTTGCTGAATCTACAAAGGAAGAGGCCCTACATGGCTATATCACTCACAGCCAGTGCATTCTCTGCAAAAATGGGGAAGAAGATCAAGACCATCTTTTCTTTGGCTGCCCTTTTCCATTCTTATGCTGGTCATAGCTCCCCCTTTAAACATTCAATGTGTGCTTGATTTCCCCCAAAAACAGTTCATAAGGCTTCTTTCGTAACAACAGGGGGGGCCCTTTCAAAGGGGGGTCTTCGGGCAAATGCAGTGAAGACCATCATTTAGAGATTGTGGTTTGAAAGGAATAACCAGGATTTTAAAGGAGATGAGTCCAAGCTGAGAGTCCTTTGGGATCGTGAATTTTTCATTTCTTGGTGCACCTTGTCTAAAGCTTTTTCAAATTGTGATTTAGCCCAAATTTACACAAATTGGGAATCTTTTTCTTAAGCCTTGGTGCTGTGGGGATCTATCATCTCCTCTTTTAGTCAATACAAGTTGCTGTTTCTTATCAAAAAAAAGAAAAAAGAAAAAAAGAAATGCAAGTTCGTGATAAAGGTTACCTGACGAAGAGCTGAATTAGCATTCTGTTGTTGGTTCTTTCCAGACCACTGAACAGCATCCATTATGACATCCCACAAAATTCGAACAACCTCAATATCAGGTAAATTAGCATCTCTCATACGATGCTTCACACTTTCTATGACTTCAGCAATGTCAGTTTCCTCGGCAATTTGGGTTGTTAAAGCAGATTTCATTTCACTCAGCTTCACATCAAACATTTTCTTTGCATTGTACTCAACCAATGGTACAAGCCCTTCCTTGCTGAAAATTTTAAGCATAATTGACTCTTAAAAAAAATGAAGTCAAGCAAAACATAAAAAATTGATTAATGATTCTAATATTGTAAAGAACAATCAATTTTTATTTCTTGGATTACCACATAATTCTACAAAATCCAGAGATGAGCTCTCACAAAAACTTATACTAATTTTTTGAAGTCATGCAAAAAAAATATTTTTAAAATGTTGGTAAGAAAATAATTATGCAACAAAATTTATAATGCAACATGCAACCATACAATTATAACTGGAAAATACTTTTTAACATATTCTATAGAAAGCATATAATATACTTACGTGAAATGCTCAGAAAAACCCTCGGCAGATCGCTTTGCAGAGGGTAAAAAGTCCAGAAGATTGTCTTCCACTTTGCCCCTCTTCAGGATGGAAATCAAATCATCAAGGCTATTATCCTTAAGGTACTCTTTGAAAAA